GTCAGGAATTGAGTTTCTCTCCTCCAGTGCAGCTTCATCATGGGGGAAAGAGGAGGGAGGATGGAGAGAGAAGTGTGCATTTGGTGGGGTGGCAAGGATGCTAAGGGGGAAGTGGTGAACCTGACGCAGAAGCTCAGACAGAAGAAACATGTGCAAAAAGAAATAGCAAGGTTTTGCTACTAATATGAAGAAGTATTCAGCATGACCTTCATGCTGCTTTGATATCATAACTGTCTTATCAGAAGTTTTACGTTTAGACTTAGAAGGGTTGTGGGTGGTTTAGTTCAACACTCTCATTTTCCTGCTAAAGAAACTGGGGTCCATCCACAGGGAAGTGACTTGTCCAAGGTCACACTGTTAGTCAGATGCAGATCCTGGATATGCTCTCAGGTCTATTAACTTCATATCTTTATACTCACAGAAAATGGTCCACACAGAGGAAACACCTCAGCTCCTTCAAGGGCACTTCTCAACAACTTTCGTGCAAATTGTGGCCGTGAGCAGGGCTGTGAAATGAGGCCTCCTGGTCTTGGCCCATCCCTTCATCTGCTTTCTTGTGTGATCGTTTTAACACCTTACATTTATATCACTTTAAGGATATAAGAGATTTTCAAGCTGATGATCTCATATCATCTTTACAACAACCTTATGGAGTAAGCACTGTTGGTATTCTTATCTCTGCTCTATTTGTGAGACTTGACATAGAGTGGATAGAATCCTAGGCTTGAAGTCAGGAAGACCTGGGTTCAAGTCCCATCTCGGATAATTTTTAGCTGTGTGACCTTTAACCCCAGCCAATACTCTAGTCAGATCATTTGTGGAATAGTTGCTGTACAATTACCAGTATTCCTAAATGGCTTGTCCAAATTTTAATGAACAGGAAATGACAGATTCAGGATTCTACCTGAGGCCTTCTCACTTCAGGCATGGTTTGACAAAATTATGGGACAGCTCCCCACAGGAGAAGAAACAACCTGTGACATTCTGAGGAGTGTATGTAGGATACCATGACATTTCTAAGTACACAACTATCATATATACCATCACATCCTTTTTTATCCCATGGAAATGAAATTGATGTTACAGAAGAAAAAACAAGTTGTGGGGGGATGAAGGAAAAGGGTGTGAATAAAATGTTATTATTTAATGGGCTCAACAGTGGTAGGGTAGGACAGGCATCTCCTTCAATTTTCCTGAAATTTGTTTGAGATTTAACTTTTCTGTCCAGGTCTGGAGGCAGTAAAACTAGGACTAGATCCAGGTTCTGCCTCTCACTACTGGAATCACCTCAACAAGGCCCCTCTCTCTGGGCCACAGATGCTGTTGGACAAGACAGCTAATGGCTCTTCTCCTTCACAATCTACAGTCCTAAGATCTAGGCAGTTACAGTATCAAAGCAGTATGAAGGCCATGCTGAATAATCCTTCAAATCAATGGTGACCATAATTATCCTTCCTATTTAGTTCAGCATTAGTTTTCTCAGTCTCTGCTGCTCTCTCAAGTTTATCACAGCCCCCTCAGCACCTATGTCATGCCACTACATACACATCTCTCCTCTCTCCATCCACTCTCCTCTTTCGTCCATGATGAAACTGCCCTGAGGATCCAAACCCCAGCCCTTGACAGAGCCTTGCACTTCCTGGGTTCCTTTTCCAGTTTCCAACTCCCACCATGACACATGCAGCATCTTGGGGTATATAGTGTGATATATTGGTCTAAGCTTGATATCTCTCTGGCTCCTTTCCAGTGTTTCTAGTAGTCTTGGTCACATACAGAATGCTGACCCAAGTGGGTGATTTCCTTGGCTTTCCTAAACACTCTGCTGCCACATTTACTTACTTCTCTTTGTGAGGGAAGTAAACAGAACCTGGAGAAGAGCTAATGGCATGACTGAAATATTGTCAATGAAAACAAATTGGAATGACTGCAGAATGCTGATCCGTGCAATGAATGGTCATTCCAGCAGAAGACCGAAGATGAAGCCTGATTCCCACCTTTTGATGGGGAGGCTGTACACTCGAGATACCAAATGAAACAGACATTTTCAACTCTGGCCAACATTTTTGCTTTGTTTCCTTATACACAATCTGTTATGTAGGAGGATGGCTTTGGGGCAACTCACAGCAAGGGAAAAATGGGAAAAATGAAGGAAAGGGTGATAATGAAAAATTGAGGGGGGGATTCTAGAAGGGGAAACAAGCAAGTAAGGGAGATGATTTCCCACTGTGACAAAGTTACCATATACCTAAAACCACCAAACTATACTCAGTAGATGTTCAGAGATTGATATACCCCCCTCTTCTTTGCATATTGAGATATTAATATTTGTGAATATTTTGATGTTCATGATAAAAAAGAAGAAATTAATAAGGCATGAGGGTCATGGTGGTTTGGGAGACATTCTGACATAGGTTTGGATATCACTTCCTCATGGTCAGTGGTTGGGTTTGCATAACCTAACCTTCCCTTAATATAGGTTTGCCCTGGGGCTCTTCTCTGCTCCCAAGGCTTCTGCTTCCTCCCTGAGCTGAGAATCATAAGTCACTCTCCCTTTTTCTTCTTCAGTGTCCTACTACCTAAAATGAGTGACAGGGGACATAGAGAGATCCAAGGGAATACAGGCACCCAAAATGGGAATGCCACAGGAGTATGTCCTCAAAAAGACAAAGATTTAAAGACTCAGCGCTACAGTAAAGTCACAGAAACATCTTAGCCAGACTTCCACTGGAAAACTGGAGCCTTGGGAAAGGAAAGGAAAAGAGAAGGAAAGAGGTTCTCCCTACATTATCATGACCCAAGAAGGAAAGGGGAAGAAGAAACCAGATGGGGGTTTGGCATTCCTTTTTATCAGTAGGAATCAAAAGAGAACTGCCTTTTCCCTTGAAATTTGGAGAGAAATGAGTATCCCACTCACATGGCAAGTCAGATCTGGTCTTGTGGATTTCCTGCCCTTTCCCCCCCAGGACAGGTAGTGTGATGTGGTGGCTAGAGAAATGAACTTACAGTCAGGAAGACTGAGGTACAAATCCTGCCCCTGATACTGACTAGCAAACAGGGTGTCCCTGGGCAAATCACCCAATCATCTTCATCCCATACACACTGACCATTTCTTTTCTAATCCTCTAAATTCCCTGAATTTTGCTGAACTTTTCCTCCTTCATTTTAAAAACTTTCTTTCAACGTATGAGCATAAGACACATTCAGAAATGATTGGTGTAAAATATCCACTCCAAAAAAAAAATAAAATTGAAATATAAAAGGAGACCAAGAAAAGTACAGGCACATCTTTGGGCTTCACTATTTGTTTCTGGGGGCATTTTGAGAGCCTCAAAACTCTTAGGAATTGGAAATAATTGATTCATTCTCATTCCCTGGAGTGACCATTCCAAACTAGACTGGTAGAGTTGACAATATGCAGGTGTTCAAGGTGTAGGGCACTGTTAGAAGCCCAGCTTGGACACTTCCTAGCTGTATCCTCATGGGAAAAATCAATTAATCTCTCAGAGCCTCAGTTTCCTCATCCATCAAATGGAGATCATAATACTCCTCTCTATTTCACATGAGTTGTTGAGAGAAGAGTCTTTTGGTGACTTCAAAACCCCCTAAGAATGGAAGTTCTGGATTGGAAATCAAGGATTTGGAACTGGAAGGAACCTTAGAGGGATTGAAGTTCAACAAGGACTCATTTTCCTTCCCAACCCCTTTCAAATCTTCCTTGGGATTTCTCCTGCCCAGCAACCCTGTGCTGCAGGCAGGCCAGGGAGAATGGGGACACTGCTCACCCACAACCACCACTAACTAATAGAAAAAATGAAGAAGAGTAACAGCCTTTCCTTCACTAAAGCTCTTTCCAGCTCTTAAAGCATGTTCTGCTGCTCCTCTTATCTCCTGTCAGCCTCAGGCCAGTCTTAAGGGATCCCCAGGAGGAAAAGCTTGAATGCATTGCCCAACATCACACAACTAATGCCTGGCAAAGACCAAGTGGGAATGCCAAGGAGGACTGGATGCATTTCTGCAATTTACATGTGTTTTAGTGGATAGCTGGTTCTGGAGTCAGGAAGACTCATCTTCCTGAGTTCAAACCTGGCCTCAGACTCTTACTAGCTGTGTTACTCTGGGCAAGTCACTTAACTCTGTTTGCCTCAGTTTCCTTATCTGTTATATGAGCTAGATAAGGAAATGGTAAACCACTCCAGTATCTCTGCCAAGAAAACCCAAAACCTGGTAATGAACAGTCAGACACAACTGAAATGACTCAAAAACAACAACAACATATTGATCTTCTTCAAAGAGTGATTGAAATAAATCGTCACTATCACGTCCCTTGTGGGTGGTCACCTAGCCACTGTTTAAAGACCTCCATGGGAGAGGGAACCCACCACAGCTTGATGCACCCTTTAGGCAGTTATAATTGTTAAGACATTTTTCCTCATGTCAGGCCCAAATTTAGGTCCTTACAAATCCCTCTTTCCCCTTTGTTCTATCCTTGGCCCCAGAGAGTACAAATCCCAGCTCTTCCAAAGGACAGACCTGCTAATACATAAGAATTTGTGACGGATGTGGCTTTTCTCTTCTCCCCACTGAGCTCCCTAGCTCCTTCAAATTATCCATGTCTTACTCTTGGCACTTCGTATTGCTTGGATGCCTGTCTGTGAATGTTCTCTGGTTTCCAAAAGTCCATCTTACATTGTGGATACTGACCGCAAAACTCACTCGTGGTCTCATCAGGTAAGAAGAGTAGGAATACTGCCTCTCTATTCCTGGAAGTTTGCTTCTCAACACAGGAGAAGATGGGATTTTTGGAATCCCCATTGACCTGCTGACTCAAAGCGAGATGGCAACCCACTGAATCCACACAGCTGTTACAGAACCTTTGCTGTCCAATGATGCCACACCAATTTGTGTGATAAGAGAAGAACTCCCTCTCCTGAACCCCTCATCCCCAAAGAACATTGAAACTACAGCTAAAAGATATGGTTTCCAAACATTTTATTCGGAAATCTTTGTGCTACAGATATTCATGGAATGCAGCAGGGGACCCAAAGGACTGTAAGCAAGAGAAGCCAGGCTGCTAATAGAGTTCCCATGGGGAACAGTTGTCTTCCAGAAGTACAAATACCAAGAACACATACCCAAAGCTGCCACCAAATAATTTACATAAATTAAATCTCACAGATAAGAATCATTTCTAATGGGGGAAAGGATCTCCAGCAGGCTGGAGCTTGGGGAGATTGCATCTGACTGTGGAATTCCACAGGTTGGTCCATTTCCCTTTAAGAGTCATCGTCCAAGGCCACTGAGCCCCTCAGTTCAGCTCCAGGTCTTCCACATAGCTCTGAACCCAGGCATCACTGGGGTTGGCACACACCTGTCGGCCTCTTTTGGTCTGAAACCTGGAGAGGGAAAGGAGAAGAGAGGAGAGGTCACAGATGGAGAGATGGTTCTCTGTGCTCCCCCCATGTCCAGTACTGACCAATTCCTGCACATCTCTGCAGGGTCCTGAGGAAAAATCTTCTAGCAATATCTCTCAGGCCCTTATGAATATTCAGCTTCTCTCTAGAGTCCTGTCCAGTGGGGAGTATCTCAGGAAGCCTCATCTTGCTATATAATCCCTGTTGCTTCTGTTTCTCCCTCCCCCTTGAGTGAGCATCTCTCATCATGTTCCTTGGAGAACCCAACAGGGACCACTTGTGGGGCTTCTTTCCCTTGTAACCAGGATTTCCCCTGAGTTGCCTGATTCATCCACTTCACCAAGTTGCCAAATGGCCCCATTTCTCCTTGCCATTCTCTCTCCCTCTATCCCCTCAAGAGATTCAGTGGGTAGATACTCACACCACAGCTGGCTGGGAACACAGGCTGCTGGTCTCATAATAGTCTGTCACAAATTTTCTTTGGATCTGTTGGTTCACATAGGAAAAGCAGCAGGAGGTGGGAGGGTCAGAGCCCACTGCAAAGAAAGAGGAGGCATGAGATTAGTAATGTCTTATGTTCACACCTTACCTTCCTCAGCTGCTGATGCAAACCCGTGGACAAACTCAGGATTAGGCACACTGGCGACGAGATGGCTTCTCTCTCCCTAACCCTGCTTCCCTCCAGTACCAGGTGTGATTCTCATTGTTCCTGGAGGAGGAACAGGCCTGCTGTTCCTGTCTCCATAGGAGATATTTTGAGGAAAATTAAAGTGTGGGAGCTAGAAGGGATGTCAGAGATCTGCCCACCCAATTCCTGCCTTTGCTGAAGAAGCCACTTGCTGGAGATCACTTGGGTAATTAGTGGCAGAGCCAGGAGAACTTAGCCAGACACAGAATCCAGTCCTGTGTGCTTTCTGCTCTCTTGTCCTGTCTCCATTGTACATTTGACCCTTATGTATTGCAAAGGGCATTTTGATGCCTTCAGGTTCAAAAGGTATAGACATCCTCTCCGCTTCTGCTCCTGCCTCTCCCTTTTAGTCCTTCCCCACCCCACACTCACAAATAACTATGTATCTAGCCTCATCTCCTGTCAGGGTTCTATCCAGCTTATAACCACAGCCTAGATACAGCCACAGAGGGAAAGAGAAGGAGCACTTACTTGGTGCAGAGGATGCCAGAGAGCTGAAAGCCATGACCATGAGCATGGAGAAGGCAACCACAGAGACCTTCATGGTCTGGAGAGGAGAGAAGGCTTGGAGGAGCAGAGCACTAGCTGGGAGACTCTGCAGGTCTGTGCCTCTGTCTCAGGTGTGGGCCCTCTTTTTATAGGGGTTTCCGGGAGGACCCAGAGGGAAAGAAGGAACCTAAAAGGAGTGGAATTTCCTGTGGAGAGCTGATGTCATGGTAGGAGATAGAAACTAAAAAGGGAACCCAGGAAATGTAAGCCTAGTGTCAAGAACTGAGGTTTTCTCCTCCGGTGTAGCTTCATCATGGGGGAAAGAGGAGGGAAGATGGAGAGATGAGAAATGTACATGTGGTGAGGTGGCAAGGGTACTAAGGGGGAAGTGGCGAACCTGAGCAGAAGCTGAGACAGAGGAAACATAGGCAAATACAAAGAAGAGAGTTTTATTGATCATTGATATGAAGAAGTAAACAACATGGTCTTCATACTGCTTTGATATCATAACTGGCTAGATCTTAGGATTATAGATCGAGAGGTAAAGGAGTCCTAGATGGTTTAGTCAAACACTCTCATTTTCCAGTAAAGAAATTGTGGCCCAAATAGAAGTGACTTGTCCAAGGTTACATTGGTAGTCAGAAGCAGATCCTGGAAATGTCCTCAGGTTTGTTGATTTCACATGTTTAGACTCACAGAAAGTGGTCCATTCAGAGGAAACACCTCAGCTCCTTCAAGGGCTCTCCTCAACAAGTTTTGTGCAAATGGTGGCCATGAGCAGGGCTGTGAAATGAGGCCTCCTGGTCTTGGCCCATCCCTTCATCTGCTTTATTGTGTGATGATTTTAACACCTTACATTTATATCACTTTAAGGATATAAGAGATTTTAATGCTGATTATCTCATATCATCTTTACAACAACCTGATGGAGTTGGCAGGGTTGGTATTCTTATCTCTAGTTTATTTATGAGACTTGACATAGAGTAGATAGAATCCTAGGCTGGAAGTCGGGAAGACCTGGGTTCAAGTCCCATCTCTGAAACTTCTTAGCTCTGTAATCTTGGACCACCCAGTGCCCCCGGCCAACGCTCTAATCAGATCATTTCTAGAACAGTTATTATACAATTACCAGTGTTCTTTAATGGCTTTTCCAAATTTTAATAACCAAGAAGTGACAGATTCAGGTTTCAACCTTAAGCCTTCTCACTTCAGGCAGGGTTTGACAACATTCTGGGGCAGAGCCCCATGAGAGAGGAAATAACCTGAAACTCTCTGGGGAAGAATGTATGAATACCATGACATTTTTAAGTATACAATTATCATATATACCGTCACATCCTTTGTTATCCCATGGAAATTTGTACCAGCCGCGCCGACCTTGTGTCGGCCGCGCCGACCCTCTCCTCCTATAAGGAGCAGGCTACCAGAGTCATACTCACTTCCGAGTCTTCGGTCCTCAGCTGGATAAACACACAGAGACGAGCCATCGGGAGGCGCCAACACCAGAGCTTTATTCAGAGGCCATCACAGCAAGCCATCACAGCAAGCCCAAGCAGCAAGGCCAGAGCAACAGAGCAGGAGCCAAGAGAGAGCGCGATCTGACCACGCTCATTCCTAAGTACCTACCTAGCCCCTCCTCCCCAGCCCGCTTACTAGCCAATGATTGTAGGGTCAGATACCGGAAGGGGCTGTCTGAATTTAGCACACCAAGGGAGAGGGAGTGACATAGGAGGCTAGGACCGGATATAGGAAGGAGGCGTCTGGGATTAGTGCATAGACAGAGTACGTGACCTAGGAAGTCAGGAAGGACACGGGAAGGAGGAGTCTGGGGTCAGTGCTACACAAAGGGACCCAGGAAGTCAGGAAAGTCACAGGAGGCATCTGGGGTTGACGTTGCATATAGGGAGGGGACTAAGCAAAGGGAACTCAGTCCTCTGCCGTCCCACTCCCACGTGGCACCGCCCCTTGCCTCAGGAGCACAAGCTCCGCTACTTCCTTGTACCCAGCTTATCTCACATAGCACTGCCCACTGCCTCAGGGCTTCTCCGTACCCAGCCCATCCCAGTTCACCACAACTCTGCCTACCACAGCCCCTGCCTTGACTTCCAAAAATACCCAGAATCTACCCCAATCTTGCCACAGCACCCAACTGGCAACTGCCAACATCAGACAGTCCCTCACAGAAATTAAATTAATATTAAAAAAGAGAAAAGAAGATGTGAGGGAAAGATGGAGATGGATGTGAATACAATGTTACTATTTAATGAGTTCCAAAGTGGTAGAGTAGGACAGGCAACTCCTTCAATTTTCCTAAAATTTGTTTGAGATACAACTTTCATATCTAGGTCTGGAATCAGCAAACCTAAGAAGAATCCAGGATCTGCCTCTCAATTCTGGAATCACCTCAACAAGGCCCCTCTCTCTGGGCCACAGGTGCTGTTGGACAAGACAGCTAATGGCTCTTCTCCTTCACAATCTACAGTCCTAAGGTCTAGGCAGCTACAGTATCAAAGTAATATGAAGGTCATGCTGAATAATCCTTCAAATCAATGGTGACCATAATTATCCTTCCTATTTAGTTCAGCATTCGTTCCTCAGTCTCTGCTGCTCTCTCAAGTTTATCACAGCCCCCTCAGCACCTTTGTCATGCCACTACACATACATCTCTTCTCTCTCCATTCACTCTCCTCTTTTTCCCATGATGAAACTGCCTTGAGGAACCAAACCCCAGCCCTTGACAGAGCCTTGCATTTCCTGGGTTCCTTTTCCAGTTTCCAACTCCCACCATGACACATGCAGCATCTTGGGGTATATAGTGTGATATATTGGTCTAAGCTTGATTTCTCTCTGGCTGCTTTCCAGTGTTTCTAGTAGTCTTGGTCACATACAGAATGCTGACCCAAGTGGATGATTTCCTTGGGTTTCCTAAACACTCTGCTGCCACATTTACTTACTTCTCTTTGTGAGGGAAGTAAACAGAACCTGGAGAAGAGCTAATGGCATGACTGAAATATTGTCAATGAAAACAAATTGGAATGACTGCAGAATGCTGATCCGTGCAATGAATGGTCATTCCAGCAGAAGACCAAAGATGAAGCCTGATTCCCACCTTTTGATGGGGAGGCTGTACACTCGAGATACCAAATGAAACAGACATTTTCAACTCTGGCCAACATTTTTGCTTTGTTTCCTTATACACAATCTGTTATGTAGGAGGATGGCTTTGGGGCAACTCACAGCAAGGGAAAAATGGGAAAAATGAAGGAAAGGGTGATAATGAAAAATTGAGGGGGGGATTCTAGAAGGGAAAACAAGCAATTAAAGGAAACCATTTCCCACTGTGACAAAGTTACCATATACCTAAAACCACCAAACTCTATTCAGTAGAAATTCAGAGGTTCATATAACCTCTTTTCTGTTCTTCTTTGCATATTGAGATATTAATATTTGTGAATATTTTGATGTTCATAATAAAAAAGAAGAAATTAATAAGGCGTGAGGGTCATGGTAGCTTGGGAGACATTCTGACGTAGGTTTGGATATCACTTCCTCATGGTCAGTGGTTGGGTTTGCAGAGCCTAATCTTGCCTTAATAAAGAGCTCTTCCCTGCTCCCAAGGCTTCCTCTTCCTCCCTGAGCTGAGAATCATAAGTCACTCTCCCTTTTTCTTCCTCAGTGTCCTACTACCTAAAATGAGTCACACTGGACATAGAGAGATCCAAGAGAATATGGCAATCCAAAATAGGAATGCCACAGGAGTATGTCCTCAAAAAGACAGAGAATAAAAGGTACAATGCTACAGTAAAGCCATAGAAACATCACAGTCAGACTTCCACTGCAAGACTGGAGCACTGGGAGAAGAAAGAAAGAGACAAAGAAAGAGGGTCTCACTACGCTCTCCTGCCTCAAGAAGGAAGAGGGAAAAGGAAACCAGACTGGAGTTTAGCATTTTTTCTTATCAGTAGGAATCAAAAGAAGATTGCTTTCCCCCTCAAAATTCAGAGAGAAATGAGGATCCCACTCACAGGGCAAGTCAAGTCTTCTAGACACTGACCATTTCCTCCTCTAATCCTTTAAATTCCCTGAGTTTTGCTGAACTTTTCCCTTTACTGTAGCATTCTACCTTTTATTCTCTGTCTTTTTGAAGATATACTTCATTTTAACAATTGTCTTTAAAGGCATAAGCATAAGAGATACTCAGACATGAATGATGTAAAATATCCACTGACAAAAATAAAATTGAATTATAAAAGGAGAGCAGGAAAAGTACAGGCAGGTCTTTGGGCTTCTCTGTTTGCTTCTGGGGCCATTTTGAGAGCCTCTCAACTCTTATGGACAGGAAAGGATTGATTCACTCTCATTCCCCATGGGGACCATTACAGACTAACCTGGTAGAGTTGACAATATGCTGGTATTCAAAGAGTAGAGCAGTGTTGGAACCCTACCTTGGACATTTAGTAGCTGTATGCTCATGGGAAAATCAATTAATCTTTCAGAGCCTCAGTTTGCTTATCCAGCAAGTGGGGATAATAATGCTCCCTCTCCCTATTTCATGTGGGATGTTGAGAGAAAAGAGTCCTTTGGTGATTTCAAACCCCCTAAGAATGGGAGTTCTGGATTAGAAATCAAGGATTTGGAGCTGGAAGGAACCTTAGAGGGCATGAAGTTCAACAAGAACTCATTTTCCTTCCCAATCCCTTTCAAATCACCCTAAGAATTTCTCCTGCCCAATAACCCTGTGCTACTGGTAGAACAGGGAGAACGGGGACACTACTCACCCACAACTACCATGAGCTAACAAACAACTACAAAAATGATAAACAGCCTTTCCTTTACTAAAGCTCTTTCCAGCTCTTAAATCATGTTCTGCTGCCCCTCTTATCTCATGTCAGCCTCAGGCCAGTCTTAAGGAATACCCAGGAGGGAAAGTTTGAATGCATTGTCCAACATCACACAACTAATGCTTGCCAGAGGCCATGTGAGAATGCCAAGGAGGATTGGATGCATTTCAGCAATTTACATGTGCTTTGGTGGGTAGAATGATGGTTCTGGAGTCAGGAAGACTCACCTTCCTGAGTTCAAACTTGGCCTCAGACACTTATTAGCCATGTTAATCTGGGCAAGGCACTTAACTCTGTTTGCCTCAGTTTCCTCATCTTCTCAAATGAAATGGAGAAAGAAATGGTAAATGACTCCAGTATCTCTGCCAAAAAAACACCAAAGGTAGTCATAAAGAGTCGGACATGACTGAACAACAAAAACACAGTCATCTACTCCAAAAGATGATTGAAAAAAAAATCCCTACTTT